AGAGAGAGAGAGAGAGAGAGAGAGAGAGAGAGAGAGAGAGAGGGCCTATACTTTTCTGGGATTACAGTGATCCTTTCTTGCCCAAACAGTTCTTGATTGACTCAAGGTTTAGACAACTCTAAGGGCGCTTTTGATGGAACCACGGGAGAGTAAGTGCTTCCTTATTTAGAAACTAAGCACTTAGGCTTAGGGAAAAGTTTTAACTGGTAAAGTGCTTGTTGTGCAATGACTTGAGTTCAGTCTTGAGGCCCTGAGTTCAATCTCAAGAATCTATATAAAAATCCTTTTTAATCCAGGCATGGTCATTGTAAGGATTCAGGCATTATGCTGGCCTGCCCCTATCACCTGGCAGAATGCACTCAGGCACTAGTCTGGTCACCCCAGGGTTCCATGGTTGTGTAGTCTGCGCAGAGGTGCAAAGGACCCCTTTAAAAGAAAGACCTCAGGCGTTGGTGGCTCACGCCTTTAATCCCAACACTCGGGAGGCAGAGGCAGGCGGATCTCTGTCAGTTCGAGGCCAGCCTGGTCTCCAGAGCGAGTGCCAGGATAGGCTCCAAAACTACACAGAGAAACCCTGTCTCGGAAAAACAAAAAAACCAAAACAAAACAAAACAAAAAAACAAAAAAAACTGTCATTCTGGTTGTTTGTCTCCGCCCCCCTCGCCCGTCCCCCCCCAACCCTTCCCTTGCCCCCTCCGGCGGTCACCCTGGCCTGCCATGGAATCCACCATGGTTCCCCACGCAAGGACCCTCTTAAATCTTTATCACAACAGTGGTAAGCTTCACTTGTAATGCCATCCAACACTGCAGAGGCAGACGGTGGATCCTTGGGGCTCACTGGGCAGCCAGCCCTGCCTCACGTTTATTTCCAGGTCACATTGACTCCATAGACAGGGTGGGTGGCTCCTAAGTAATAAAACTCAAGGGTGATTTTTGACCTCCACACTCACTGACACACATGCTCCCCCATGCACCAAAAAGTGTGATTTAACAAATGCACAAATAGACATAAAATAGAAAGCAGATAATGCTGTATGTAGACGATTCTACAGATAAACAGTTCATTGAAAATCTGCAAACTCTAAGTTGAGCCTGTGGTAACTTTGTGTGTGTGTGTGTGTTGTGTGTGTGTGTGTGTGTGTGTGTGTGTGTGTGTGTGTGGTGTGTGTGTGTACGTTTATGGCTGACTCACCCGCGTATGCTCTCAGGCAGTGTAGAACTGAATGGCCCTTTCACTAGCTAGAACAAAACCTTAACACCACTAACTCATCACAGTGGTTCATGCAGCTGTTTTTAACTTGATCACAAAAGGCATCACTATTGCAGGCATTATTAAAGAGCCTAAACTGAGTCCTGAGGATATAAAGGTGGCTTTGCCAAGACCACAGAGTGATTCATGGACAGAAGGCAAAATGATATGGAATTGACTGCAAAAAAGGTTTTGCAGCTGTGACTTTTCAATGAGGCAAGTTTTCTGGGGACAGGACTGAGGGGTGGGGTTGGGTAAAATGTCTTAAAACCTCGGATTCATCAGTGTTCTCTGTGTCCCCCCCCATTCGCTACCACCACCACTTCCTTCTTTATGTATCTTATATCATTCTATTTTTCCAGTTTTCTATAGTGAAAACATATTGGGTAGACATAGCTCTAAAACAATTCTCTTATGGCATATTTTAATTCTTTTACCACATATTGATCCGTTTTCTCTTAGTGAAGCCATTATCACTGGGCTAGTTTATATCCTGAAAGTTTTATTTTCCAGGTGATTATCGGCCTTTTGCTGTTCTTGCAAGTCTTTGCCTCATATAGATGCCTGTTAATTTGTGGCTATCTACGAGGTCTACAAAAACTGAAATTGTTTTCAAATCAGCTGTATTCCAACTGTCCCTGGAACTGTCGATGCGCTTTCGCATCTGTCCCATACTTCCGGACAAAGGGGGATGTTGTGTAAGGAGGTTTGTTGGCTCAAGGTGGACCCTATAAACTCTTGCTGGTCCTCCCTAGAGCCCTCCGCCGTGTCGCTGTCTGCCTTGCTGGAGCCGCCAGGGGGCGCTGTGGCCCGGAAGCGTGGCGGCGGCGTGGCGCAGACCCTCCCCCTGCGTCCCGGCACCGCCCTGTCTCCCAGGCTCCTTTGCGGGTAAACAGACATGGCCGACGAGGAAGATCCCCGGGACGCTGCGCACAACATGGGCAACCACCTGCCGCTGCTGCCTGGTAACCTCCGGGGCTGGCGCCTGGCCACGGGTGGAGAGCGAGACCCGGGGCCGCCCCCTCGGGGAGGACGCAAGCCGGGTGCAGCGGCGAGTGGGGGAGCTTCCCATGAGCCTCGACCGCTGCAGCCCTGCGCTTTGCTCCCGGCCTGTCTCCTGGGCTGGGGTGGGGGGATGTTGGGGCGAGGGACTTTGGTTTCCCAGAGCAGGGACCCAGTCCTTACCCTCCTCTTCCCTAACACGTCTCCATGGCAATTCCCTGGGACCAGGCGACGTCGGGAACCGGCTTACATTAGTAGCCGTTGCCTTTCCTGCAAGCCTGTCTTTTAAGAAGACTGACAGCTAGTATGCCCTAAGCACTGAAACGTCACTCGCCGCGAAGGGCATGCTTTGCATGCGTCTCTGCTACTTTTAAGGCGACACCCCTCACCTGTTCAGAACCTGGCTGTCGAGGAGAGATGTGTCAGCGAACTGTTAAATTGTGTGTATCATTTAGTAATATGGAAGGTCACACAGTTGCAGAGACAGGCAGGGACCTGCGGTGTGCCAGGCTGTCAGCATAACAGGTATCGCTTAACTACCTCTCTGTCGAGGTCGTGTTTGGTGGGTTTTCGCAGGTTTGAAAATAATACGCTTGCATGTGAACCACCCAAGGGAGCGAGCGGTATTGCCAGTTTCTCTTTCCTGTTCACTTCATGCCCATGTACTTTGAGACAACTTAGGTGGCAGTCCCGGGTATTAAAAGGGCATGAACTAGTGATACATAATAATCCTAGAATGCTGTAGGCAACACAGACTGTTGCCCGAATCTCTTTGGTCATAAACCAGGCAGTGTGTTAGCCTTTTGTTTGTATGAAAACCATCACCATGCACACCATACTTTAAGGAGGTTCACAGTTGTGGTGAGGCTATTGAGAATAATTATAATCTTGGGTGCAGCTCATTTATGGCCAGATAAGTAAGTGCTGCTAGGGTATCTGGGGTTTGTGTTTGATTCATCGCTGTGGTGGATCGGATGCCAGGGTCTCCCAAATTCTCTTGAGCTGTGTCTGCAACTCCTCTTGTGGTTCTTCAGGGGTAGGGTTTATTCTGGGGTTAGAGGAATTGAAGAACAATCTTGTGATGGAGATTTACTTAGGATAACAGTTGTGGACTAGGTTAGTTGTAAGTTGTTGAAAACTTTCATCTTTAGTCATTTGAGTTCGGAGCTGCGCGCGCGCGCGCGTGTGTGTGTGTGTGTGTGTGTGTGTGTGTGTGTGTGTGTTGTGAAGAAATAATTTCAGGTTTCAGTTAGTTGCTTAGGAAAAGCTGTGCTTTGGGGATGAATCTGTTCCTTGGTAGTAGTTTAGTCTGAAGGGGGGAAATGCTGGGTGCCGTGCCAGCACATAGAAGGCGCCTTTGGCTAAGTCACTGGTTGCTTGTGCAGTTGTACTCGCTGAAGTTGGTAAAGGTAGGTAAGTCATCTTTCAACAGAAGAGATTTCAGTGACGTCAGCACCCCTGTGTCTGTGCCAGAGGTTTAGGGAGAGTGGTGGAGTGGGAGGAGGATGCTTGTGTACCGCTGGCATCCACCAGGGGCTCCTGCATGTGTCATCAGCCTCTGGGAAAAGTCCGCCTGTGTTTTCTCAATTTAAATTTAAGAAGTAAGAGGCTCCCAGATGTTATAGATACAGAATAATGGTTTTCCAAATTATAAGAGTTTTATTTCTGGAGAAACGTTGGCTTGCCTGCCCTCTGAATCCATGTAGTATAACTGCTTTGAAAAGTGATCATCTTTAAGTACTAAGGAAATTGCTTAACATTTTAGGTGTGAAGACTATACTGGAAAAATTCAATGCCCAAAGATAAACATTTCCAAGTTTATGAGAATGGCGACCATATATAACAAATGCCTTTAAAGAGTAAAAGTAGACAATGCCAGGTGTAAATTTCGTATAACTGCAGTCCTTGAGCTAATAGCAGATACTGTAAGTTTGCTGTAATAAGAAGAGAATGGCTGTCTCCAAATGTCAAGTAAAATCCAGGTTTTTAGAGTTATAGGTGAAAAAAATTACATGCATATTGTTTTTTCATCATTTTAGTTTCATCTTTATCTTTTGATGAAACTTCCCTATTGTCAAGAAAAATCTCTTCAGAAGTGTAAAACATGAACTATCTACATACAACTTGCAATAGTTCCTATCTCTGACAAAGCTTTATTTCTAGGAATTCATAATAAATAAAAAGTTCTATGCATTTATTGTAAAATCTTTGTATTTTCTGTTAGGAACCTACGTACAGGTAGTTTGATATAAAAAATCATTTTCACAATGGAAAAGCTGACCTATTTGTAATCAAACCTTATGCATTTAAAAGTTTTTGTGGGGCAGTTAAAATATATGAACAGAAATGAAATTTAGTGGGTTTTTATTCTTAGTTTAGGCCATTGTTTCCCAACCTTTAAACTGTCAACATTTCAAGCTGGAAAAACCCTTCTAAGATGTCCCTTAAGCAGTACAAGTGCTTAGCAGCATGCCTGGCCACCAGCTAGTATGGATTCCCAGGATTTCTGTAGTTGTGACAGTCTAAGATATCTTAAGACAGTTCCAAATATCATAAAGGAACAAAATTATCCTTGGAGTGGGAAATGAACCCATAGTTGGTGGGGAAAGAACAGTTTCTACTTGGTAGAGTAACACCTCTGAAAAGTAGTGGTTTGTTCTGGTGTTTCTGGCTTTCATCTCTGCCCTTGGTAACATCAAGTTTTAAAGTAGTTCAGCTTACTTTTTATAATTGAAAAAATACATATGCAGGCAGTCTTCTTAAATCTCCTTTAAAATGTATTTTTCTTTGTGCCAACATTATTTTTAAATTTAAAACGACAAAGCAATGTTTGCATGAAAATAATTGCAAACATTTCATTTTTAAATATGATGGTGACCACCAGGAAAGTTGTCACTGGGAAAGCAGTGCCCTCTGCCAGGTTTAAAGGAATTGTTTTCCCGTTTAACTAACAGACCTTTCTTGCCTGTTTATTTCTTTCTTGCTTTCTTTCTCACAGAGGAACAGCTAAAGTTTGAAAGATCCCCAGAGATTATCATGTTCAAGTCTTAATTTTTTTTCTTCAGATGAGGAAGCTAAGCTATAATTAGTTGGAATTTATTATGTAAGGGGTCAGAATTAGTTTTTGATAGAGAAGAGAAAAATGATCCGTACAGGAGAATTGAACGTAATTTAGCTGTTGAGTTGTAAGACTACCTGTGTTCTCAAAGTGCAGTGTGAAAGGCGGGAAAAGGGAATATGACAGTGAAGGATCCTGATAGCTGTTTCCCCGGCCAGGTGATCAAGGGAACATCAGCCCCTAGGTCAGCCTGACTATACGTGCCCTTGATGTGAGGCGAAACACCCTGGGCCTCAGCTGAATCCTGAGAATTACAGCCAGCTGATCACAATTGATGAATGCTTCGTGAAGTACCTGATACGTACTCCAAATGATCAGGGTCTCCCCAGACACGGAAGAACAGAACAATTGGCCTGCCAGAGGCAGCAAAAGAGCCAGGATACCTAAATACAATGTGGTGCCCTGGAGGGAAGTCTACCACAGGAAGTGGACATTATCTAAAACTCTAAGGAAATCCAAATAAAATAAGAAATTTAGTTAATAGTAATGTACCAGTATTGATGACAGCTGTGACAAGATTACCAAATGAATGTATGGTGCTAACTGGAGGAAGATAAGGTCTCAGCATACTAGAATTCTATTTGTCCAACATTCCTATAGTCTTAAAGTGTTCTAAAATAATTGATTTTTAAAAATGGGAAAAAGGAGGAAAGCGTAGTCATGGCAGAAGGAGCATAGACCCACTTTCTGCTGCGTCTGCACAGCTTTCGTAATAAGAATCTCTCTCCTCAGGGCAGGGTATGGGAAGGGAACAGAGCTGCCTTTGTTTTGACTCTCATTTTTTTCTTCTCTTATTCTACTTCAGCAGAGAGTGAAGATGAGGAAGATGAAATTGAAATGGAAGTCGAAGACCAAGATAGTAAAGAAGCCAGAAAACCAAACATCATAAACTTTGACACCAGTCTGCCAACATCACATACAGTATGTAAAGTCATTGAGCTAATACAGTAGATGGCCCGTTAACGGTGCTTGGAATTTCCTAAATGCAAGTGACTGAAGGATTCCTGCATATTAGCTGACCCTTGAACTTGTGGATGAGGATGGGCATGTAAACTTACATGCATAAACATGTAATTTTACAAATTGAAGCAATGTAATACTATAGTCTCATGTGATTCTTGACTATTTTCTAATATGCAAGCATAGAACCTTAACTTTTAAATTTATCCCGGGTATGCCTCTTTGAAGGTTTTTTTCTGAATGATTTTACTAGTAATGGAGCCATTAAGAGTGTATTCTTGGTCCTGCTGGGATGTGGGGTGGAATTCTACATACTAACAACATTCTGTCATAAGAATTGTCCTATTTGGACACAGAGGGGTTTTTGGTTTAAAAAAAAATGATATTTTGAGCTACAAAATACCAATGAGAGATTCTTCATTAAAAACTAGGAGTTCATAGGCACCTGAGGAGCACTGGAAGCCAGTAGTCTTCCCCAGGAAAGAGCATACCAATTGGTAGTTGAGTGCCAAATGTAATCCCTGACATTATATGGATTAAATAGTTTATATTTAGGAATACATGTCTATATATGTGGACATACATCCATACAGTATGGATGTAGTCTTTTTTAAAGTCTATGAATTTGAAAAGATGAAGGAGGGGTTTGTGGGAGAGTTTGGAGGGGAGAGAGGTAAAGGGGAAATGCTGTAATTACATTATAACCTCGAAAATAAAATAATAAGAAAAAAAAATATAACTCCAGGGTTCACTCAAGATTCCCTTCATATAATTTGTTGATCTGACAGAGAGCCCATGTTTGGTTACTATCAATTTTTAGCTCCTTACTGAGACTCACTGTCAGAATTAAATCATAAATATTTCACAAAAAAAAAAACCTAGGAGTTCTAACAGGAAATACTAGATCAAAATTTAATGTTTGATGGAGATGTGCTTATATGACCACGATTATATAAATCAGTGTGTATTGTGTCTGTGTAGTTCTTTGACTTTGCTTTACTCTGAATCTGTGAGGGTGTATTGAGTGTCTGTCTTGACTCTGTGTGTTCTCGAATAGTATCTGGGAGCTGATATGGAAGAATTTCACGGGAGGACTCTACATGATGACGACAGCTGTCAGGTGATCCCGGTCCTTCCGCAAGTGATGATGATCCTGATCCCGGGGCAGACGCTACCCCTGCAGCTGTCTCACCCACAAGAAGTCAGCATGGTGCGCAATTTAATTCAGAGAGACAGAACCTTTGCAGTTCTTGCATACAGGTAAGAGGTTAGGTGAATCTGCCTACCATGCTGTCTGCTGTGTTGTCACAGCCGAGGTCAGTTGTGGCAGCCACACCCAGCTGGAGTTGTGCAGAACATGTTGGATGAGAGTGTGAAGCAAGCAATCTTGTCGAAGTACAAATTGGGGTATCTGATGTTATTTTCATCACTTTGGGAGTCAGACATTTACTTTTACAATTTAGCTGTGTCTGGCTCTTGAAAAGCTTGCATGCATTTAATGGAAAATCTGCTTGGAATCTGAGTTCAGAACTGTTTTTTATTCAAAGACAGCTGGGCTTTTATATTTCATACAGAGACTCCTTTTCCCTTTCAAAACTCACACCATGTTGTGCCAACACAAAACACTGGTAAACTGAAGCCATCCTTTAAGTAGCCTTTGGCAAATGAAGGAAACATGTGGTGGAGACAGGAAATGGAAACAGGAAGCCTCCCATCACCACCACCCCCAACACACACACATATGTACAGTGCTGCTAAACTAGCAGCAATCACCATTGTCTTAACAAAGTGGAAGAATGTTTACTTTGTGAAATGTCAGTTAAACACTCTTTACCCCTAGGTCATTTCAGTGACTCTAAAAGTCTACCTTATTCTAAGCTGCACTCTTTACCTCCTGGAGCCTTGTGTATTAGCTTAACAGCAAGGACTGACTGCTATAAATTGTTTTCCCCTCTGTATTACTTTTGCCGGTTTTGTGTATTTAAAAGCCAAAGCTGAAAACTCTTCCTGTAAATTTTTATCTTGGAAGTAATGTGCAAGAAAGGGAAGCACAGTTTGGAACGACGGCAGAGATATATGCTTATCGAGAAGAGCAGGAGTTCGGAATTGAAGTAGTGAAAGTGAAAGCAATTGGACGACAGAGGTTCAAGGTCCTTGAACTTAGAACACAGTCAGATGGGTAAGAAACTTCAAACATTTTAGAGGGAGCCGATTTTGTGGTAATTCACTATTTACTGATCCTTGATAATTATAGCTTCATTACTTGTTCTCTTTGCCTTCTAAGATGAAAGCCCATAGTTCCCATCCTTGATGTTTAGCAGAGTCACTTGTCAAGTGTGAAACTGTAGAGGCTTCAGTTTCAGCCTTGTCTCCCAGCCCAGAATGTGACTTAATGTGGAGTGAGGATGTGATGTTGTTTAGGTTATATCTAGGTGACTGTAATATTCCCCCTGGGTTTGAAAACAGTAATAGAAGTCCCAAAGGAAGTACCTCTTGAGGCGTGGCTTTTTTGGGATTGAAGAGCTCTCTGCTGCATGGGAGAATAGAAGGCAAAAGCTGTGATCAGTTTGATCATCTAGACAAGTGTGGTATTGGCAGTATTCCTGTGCTGTTTGAAAGCTACACTGAGTACATCTGCCAACTGCTGTACCAGCCAGGGAGATTTGTGACTGTTTGCAGTGTACATTTTATATCCTTTCAAGATAGTTTTATATGAGGAATGAAGAAACACTTTTGTCTCTGCACTATGTGAAGTCCAGAAGTTTTCTGGGGATCCTGGTGCAGCTCACATGGTTAGTTTCTCATACGAGCAGGAACTACTGTTTTTGTTTATTCTTTTCCCATTAAATTCTGCTAATTTAAAAGGAAATGAATTAGAAGCAAGCATTTCTCTTATCTGGTGCTAGATCTTGTTTTGGCACACAAGAAGCGCCTGTAATGTCTTAGGGGACAGCCTCTGGGTTCTACCTGTTGTAGTCTGTGGTCAGAATTGAAAATTCTGTCATACTTCTTTATTTTGGATGCCATCTGAGCACAGGAAGGTCTGAAGATTTTAGGGACCAAAAAGACATAAGCTGCATGAGGGCAAGATTTGTTGTCTCTTATGTTCATATTGTAAGCAGCTGTAAATATTAATTTACAAAAGTATGCATGAGTCAGAAAGCATTTTGGGAAAAGAAATCATGTGGATATTGAGTGGGGTATCCAGACTTGAGGGGCTTACTTTTCTCCTGGTCCTTCCCTAGAACATTTCGTCGTACAGACTCCACACCTGTATAAGTTTGTATGCCTGAGGCCCTCAGTAGCCAAGTTACTGGAGTAGTGACTGAAACTCCTGTGGTCTACATTTAGGACAGCATTAGGTGAATGAATACCAAGCGATCTGGGGGTCTGTATTGTGATGATTAGCTGGTTGTTTTGTTACAGTGGATTTTGCTGACACTGTAACAGCTTTTAATTTACTTCCTATATACATGTTAATGCAGTCTGATTTTCTTTGAATATTATTTCCTAGAGGTGATAAAGGAAATTGAATTGGGAGAAAGTATATTTCTGTATCTGGCTTTAATAATTAGTTGTGTAAAACTAAAACACAAGCTGGAAGTGGTCAACATGAGAAAGTAGTTCAGGAAACATGGTTGCAATCCAGTGAAGATCAGCTGACATCACACTGACAGAGGGGGACTGGCTTTGGAAAGTAGAATTCTTTCTAGTATTCTAGAGACTTACTAGATATTGAGGCCTCTCAAAAAAGATGTGTCTCAATTTGAAAGCCCTCTGTGGAATAAGATCTCTTTGCCTCCACTCCCTCCCTAGTCCTGAACCACTGTCACTTAAAATGGGCAAATGAAAGAAACCATGAAGGTGGTCCAGGCAGTCTCTTCTCTTTTTTCTTTCTTTCTTTTTTTTTTTTTTTTTTTTTTTTTTTTTTTTTTTTTTTTTTGCAAATTAATAGTAAGCTAATTACCAGAGAGGTCACTTGCCCAAAGTTATAAATAAGAAACAGCTGGTTTCTTTAACAGTCTGACTCCCAAACCAGCTGCCGGCCATTATACCAAGATTTTTCCTTAGCATATTGGGAACTTTATGAAATCTATAGTTTAAGATTCACTTTCTTGTTTTTAACCTAAGTGGCACTTCATATATGAAGTACACTGTTAGCTTCTAACCTTTCCTGTTAAAAGTCTGTTTTTCAAATACATAGACTTTAAAAAAAGATAACACATAGATTTTTTTAAAAAAAAAATAACACATAGAAGGGTGTATTTGACTTAGTATAGCACTCTTCAGAAATTTGTTTCTTAGAAGTGTACAGAAAAAGAGCTTAACATCCTGTTGAAATTCTGAGATTTATCTGTCATATCTGAGATAAATAATTTTTAGTCAAAAAGTTTGAAATATGTATTACAAACATTTTAGCTGAAAATTACAATAGTGTAATGTTTTGATTTTTGGAGAGACAAAGGTTTTCTTTGAACTGGGCTTACAGATCCATTTGGATCCAGATGCTCCTGGATATTCTTTCCACATTACCTGGCTACACTTGTAGGTCATTTTTACAGGCATTACAGTGTGAGTACAAAATCTTCAATTTTGCAGTTTTTCCCCTATGTCATGCGCTTTTATAGACTGTTATAAAATCATGTTATAATAATAAAGTAACTGTCATAAACTCATAAGGAAGAGCCACCACACACATACAGGTGCACACTCCAGGCATGTTGATCAGGGTTCATGAGGACTCATTTCACCCCCAGTTGTGAAAACTGGTACTGCATAAAAAGTCCTGGTGTGATCTAGAGGACATTGGTTCCACAATGCCTTTGGTGCAATAAATGTCTGTCTAGAAACAGAGAGGAGAGAGAAAGAGTGTGTGTGTGTATGTGTGTGTGTGTGTGTATATATGTATGTAATACTGTCCAAAGTGTGTGTGTGTGTGTTGTGTATGTATATAATAATACTGTCCATATTGTGTGTGTGTGTATGTATGTATGTATATATGTATATATATATATATATATATATGTGTGTGTGTGTGTGTGTGTGTGTGTGTGTGTGTGTGTGTTCGTTCCTTTCTTTCTCTACCTATTTTTACTGCCTGGATATTAAATGGCAAAGAAAGAGGGGAGGCTCACAGCCTAGAGATTTGGGGATGGAGAACTGTAATATCTGAGACATTAGATGTGTCTGGATAATCTGTAGGCTGTATGCTGAGTTTTTAAAATGAGTATTGCTTTATTTGTTCCTGCATAATTATCTGAAATATATAATCTCTTGATTGTACAAATGAGGCTGAAATCTAATTATCTCTTATATTTTATATTAAAATTTATTAAACAGTTGTTTTAAGAATTGTATATATATATACATATATAGCATTTGGTCCATTTGTTTAAAGCGGGGAACTTGGAAAAATCTTAGTATTTAAAATTATCCTATATTGAGAAACTAACCTAGTGTATCTTAAAAATGAACAACATGCTTGATTCTCTTTATTTTAGAATTCAGCAAGCTAAAGTGCAAATTTTGCCAGAGTGTGTGTTGCCGTCAACCATGTCTGCAGTTCAGTTAGAATCACTCAATAAGTGCCAGATATTTCCTTCAAAACCTGTCTCTTGGGAAGACCAGTATTCATGTAAATGGTGGCAGAAATACCAGAAGGTGAGATACTAATTTCTTATGTGTCTTCTAGAACTGAAGACAGGTTGCTTTTAAAAAGTCACAACTGCCCTGACATTTTCTAGACATTGTAGCTCACTTGATCATAGATGGATTTAAAAATAATTCACGGGCAGTTATTTATGAAAGATAACTTGCAGTCATGGTTTAATGTTACACAATTGTAAAACACTGTTAATATTATGTGTATCACGTATGTATTAATGGCCTGTGGATCTCATTCCAAAGGAACCTTAGGAAACTCTGATCACATATTTGGCTTTTGAGTTAAATACAGTCTTGAAGGGACAAGATTGTTTGGGCTGGCATTCAGTGGCAGTAAAAAAAGAATGCTGTCCTCTGACTTTTCAGAGGAAAGTTTTTGAGTTGTTTTACAGCATGCTGCTGACCACAATAGAAGTTGACTTGAGAGGGTAAGGGATTGCTTGTTTGGTGCTGGGAATGTAGCTTCGTGGTTGAGATCTTGTCTAGCATGTTCAAGGCCCTCCATTTGATTCCCAGCACAGGAGAAAGCCAAGGGTGCTTGTTTGGGCAATTATGTTTTATGTATTCCTTTGGCTAAATGAATTCACCTCTTAGGACAAAAATGAAAGCTGTTCTGCTTCATTGGTAAGCTATGTACTTCATTGTAAGGTGTATGCGTATATAGCTTTAGGTATAAAACATGCTTCCTAAATTGATGATTTTCCTATAACTGATAAATTACTAATTTCTACATTTAGAATAAATTGGGGTTTGGTTTGGGTTTTTTGTTTTTTCTGGTTTTTTTTTTTTTTGGTACTTTCTAAAAACACAAAAAGATTATTTCCATTATAAACATAAAAGTTTTGTGAATCATCCCCTACTTTCCTTTAAGTTAGAGGTTTACATTTTGTTGTAGGTAGCAAGGCATCCTAAAGTGATGTGTGAATTAGTATATAATTTTCATGGCAGGCTCTCATTTTCTTTTCACTGTTCTATCATATTTAGTGTTCTTTTGGAAGACCAGTTTCTAGAGAACCTGGGGCAGAGTGGGTACTTGATGGTCTCACAACTGTTAGGGTTTACAGTTTTATTCCATTCTATTAACAACTCATGCAGAGTACAGTATGCTTTACTTAGTTTTTCTAAGCATACTCTACATAAGTATAATTAGACTGCTTAAACACATGCAAGAAGGACCTTGCAAATAATATTTATTTCAGAAACTTTGACATTATTGTTGCAGGCAGCATTGGTCTATCTGTATAGTATATCCTTTTCCAAACTGGGTATAGAGATTTTCAATATATCTACCCTTATGTATTTGTCAATACAACAGTGAGGAATTAATGTTCATGATGATTTTAAGCATAATTCTTAGAATACGTATGTCAAAAGGTAGTTCTATCAAGGAGTGTTGTTACTGTTTAGTACTGTCACTTGTCTGCTAATCATTAGTAATTATGTGACAAATAATCATATCGGGATGCTTGCTCCCTACATGTCCTGTCAGTTGTTGTTCATTTCAGTGACTGGCATCTTTGCAGCAGGACTTAATATTGAGATTTATAATTCATATTGGGATGGCAATGGGAATTCTTAAATACCTGAATTCTCCAAATTAAATCCTCTTTGAAAATTAGTAAGTATAGGATGGGCCATAGTTACTGACTTACTGGCCCTGTAAAGCAAATCCTGTCCTGGCCACAGGACCTTGAAATTCTAAACCTGAACTTCAGTTAAGCAAATAACAGCTTGTAAAGTTTAACTTTTGTGTTGCTAGTTAAATTCTTCATATTCTATGACAAAAGTGCCTCTGCATGTTTATATTCAATTCAGAATTTTTTTTTCCTTTGCAACTGGATTGTCATTGGCTCAATGAGCAAGGAAAGTTTCTGCTTATCTGGGGACAGATCACCTGACTTCCTGAGTCTCCTGTCATCCTAGATTTACATTCAGTAGCCCTCCGGACCGTCAGTACAGTTACCAAGGCTTTCACAGAAGGAACTAGAGAATGAGGGAGGCACATGAGGTTTTAAGAGATTTTAAAAAGCTTTCAGCCTTGTATTTTTCAGATTGTTTTAGGGGTTTCCTGGTTTAAGCTTAGAAGGTCTTAGGTTCTGAAATTTGGAATCTTGATCACTAGGTCAAAAAAAAAAAAAAATGCTGGAAAATGAATGCTATACCCAGGCGTCTTGTAAACTCTGTTGTACCTCTTAGGCCCATTCTGTGTCCACCAGAATACAGTCTCTAAAACAGGGAAGTGCCACAGGGATGGTTGGCTGAGACTTCTGCCAAGGCTGCATACGGAACTTATAGGTGGACATTGGATTACTTTAAAAATGGACTGTGTATTGCTTGTGTTTAGACAGACCTGGTATCATTTCAGTCCTCTTCATAGAATTTATTCACACTCACTTGTATATCCAACCACAAAGTAAAGCTGTACCAATATGTCCTTTTTCCATGGCTGAGTAATAATTAAGGTGGCAGAGATTGCTAACATGACTTTAAAGGTGGTTGTTTACTTCAAATAGGAAGGATAAAGGACCCAGGAGAATATCATCTTCCTGGGATACATTTAGTTGTCTTTGAATGGATATAAACTACCTAGATATCATAAAATAATATTGAAGCTTCCTTAAGTGTTCTATGCAATCTCCCATTCTAACATAGTAGTAGTAAAGAAGGTCCAATAGACATATTGGACCAACTCAGCATGTTGGATCTTTTTTAATTCATTTTTATTTAAATTAAAAACAATCTTATTTTACATACCAGTTCCAGTTCCCTCTCCCTCCTGTCCTCCCCATCCCACCCCCCATCCACTCCCCAGGGAGGGTGAGGCCCTCCATGGGGTATCATCAAAGTCTGTTACATCCTTGGGGTAGGGCCTAGGCCCTCCTCCATGTATCTAGGCTGAGAGAGTATCCCTCCATAGGGAATGACACAAAGCCCATTCCTGCACTAGGGATAAATACTGGTTCCACTGCCAGAGGCCCCATAGACTGCCTAGGTCCCCCAGGTGACACCCATGTTCATTCAGTATTATGCTGGTTGCCCAGCTGTCAGACTGGGGTCCAGCAGCTCCAAACCATTCAGCACTGCAGCTGCCATCATTGGAGCCTTGGCCCTGCACCCACTGGGAGAGGTGAGCACTAGGCCTTCCCCCGCCCTCCCTTTGTTGGGGGCCCTTGATAGGGCACATAACCCCCACCCACCAAATCCCCAGAGACCTGGGGGCAGCCCAAACCATCCAGCACTGCATGTTGGATCTTCAGAAAGGGAAAAATGTTAGCCAAGTTAATTAAGAAACACTTCAAACTCATTCTGTGTGGAGATCTTGATTTCCTGAGATTCAGGCTTTGATAGCGGCAGGTTTTTTGTTGTTGTTTGTTTTGTGTTTTCTCTTTTTTTGTTGTTTTTTTTTTCTCTCTCTCTCTATCATGGCCTCTTTCTAAAATCACTAGAGTGATTGAAAGAGATTGTTCAAATGGCAAACTTTTTCTTCCCTCTTGAAATACATTTCCCTTTGTCCAAGTTGTCCACCTGTCCATATAAAAGCTTGCTATGTTAATTAGAAGAGTTGACTGAGAAATACAAAGTAAGCAATGTGGAAATTAGAAATCTGTAGTGTTTGATGGTCATCTTTCCAATCTGTGCTAAATAAACAAGACATGGCATCATGTAGAGTAGGGCAGACATTAGTACAAACTGACAAAGTCATGGTCTTCAAACATGCTCTCCCAGGCTATTTTTTAATGCTGTATAGTCTATAAAGATACCAGTATTCACTTTTCTTGTACCATACGAAGAAGGGCATCCACTACTGTTGACCTTCTCTTTACTAACAGTATCTTAAAGGAAATTCTTCTGTGTCTTTTGATAGATACAGCATCATTCCTTTTTAAAGGGGCAGCAGGGTACTGTATGGTTACACTGTGATTTGCACAGCTAGTCACCCCAGACAGCTGCACTAAGTGTACAGATTCCCTTTGTACAGTTACATACATATGCTCAGTCTTGATAGTGAGATGAAATGACAATAAGGGCTTGTAGGTTTATTTTCACAGCCCCTTATAAAAAGTGTTACGTACCTGTTGGTATTCGTTGTTGCCATGGTTTCATAATTAGTATACAACCATGTTTGTTGATGTGGTAAGTGTGCTTTGTGGATTTAACTTAATTTGCATAATTACAGCATTTTACCTAAAGTACTTAGTATTTTTTGTCTAATGAGTTTCTATACATATTTTTTCCCTACTGGCTCACTGGTGTCCATGAACTCTCGACTTTTATCATCTTTGTAATCACAAGCATGTCCCCTTGTTTGTCATCTGTTAGTGTTGGTTGTGGTGTGCTGCTTTACAGGGGGTTTTCATCTTTACTGAATTGTATTTTAGTATACTGCCTTAGTGTTCTAAATAGTAGCTAATAATTTCCTAAGGAAGGGCACACACAATTTTTCTCTGGATAATGGATTTCATGTAAACATGAGTCCATGTGCACTTTATCCTGCTGTGAATGTCACTGTCTCCAGACTTGCCTTTCTCCCATTTAGTTCCCGAGAGTTTGCTTTTGCTCACAGTGATTTGAAGGGCCCCCTCAGAAGAGACTGGTTTTGTGTTTTACTTCTGTTACTGTGTGACTCTATGTACTGCACTGCTGTAGCAAGTCTCAAGTTTGTAAACATTGTGAGTACAAATAGGACCTCTGGCCTTCTTACTGCTCCCTTTGTAAACTTTCTAAGATGTTTCTAAGATAGGTATAGTCAGGTATTAACACAGAGAGACTTGTGATTGTACATTTATAGTTGTACATGCATTAGAAATGCATTATACATTTGTATAGCTCCCACTAGTTTATAAGCCACTAGTATAGTAAAGATCCCACCAGGCCACAGTGCTGAAGGTCAAGAGGGACTCATGAATTTGAGTGTTGCGTTTGGGCAGTTGCTCTCTAAGAACTAACAGTTCTACTCTCTTTGGTTTGTGTGATTACTAGTAAAAACACATTAAACACATTTGTTTGCACGTGGAATTTTTAAGAGTCAGAATAGAAGTCCTTTTCTTCAGTGGGAATTGAGGCATTGGTTTGCTTATAGGATGGTGCCATGCAAAAGGATGGCATCATTCAGTGCATTCCTGTCACTATGTTAACATGTCATTTGGCTGGTTTATGATTATGCAAATAAATGATTTGGGTTTCTCTTGATGTTTGTCAAAATTACTTTTGTAATGCACTTTATGATGCCTTCATTGTTTAAGAAATAAATCATTTTAATGTGTCAGCAACCTAACCTGAAACTTTTTCTTAGATTCTTATAATTTATAATTTAAAGAATTTCTAATTTTAGGAAGATTTCTTCCCCAAAGTATAAACCTTGTGGGCTGTGATTTACTTTTTGTTAGCCATCTATAATATCCCAAATTCATAAAAACCATCAGCACATTGAACAGATGGTTAGGATAAGACCCGCTCTGTGCAAATCCTAGCTACTTCCCACCACCAAATTCATGACCTCCTATGTCTGGCTTCCCCCAACTTTAAAATGGAGATACTTCTAGTAGCCATGCAGTGTTCTAATAGAAGGTTAAAGTTCTTGCTATAGTGTTAGTGGTTTCCTTGGTGATTGTGGATAGTCAGTTATCTGCTCTTATTGGTAACACATCTTTTAAAATCTGTAATTGAATCATGACAGTAACCCTTGACATAAGGTATATGGTCTTAGAAATAAAGGATAACTTACTAGAGAGAAGTTCAGTAAGTCTTTTGCTCTGGCCTATTAAGCTGGATTCCTGAGCTAAGCATGAATAGGAAACAATTCCAGACTGTTTTTAGATAGCCTGAAATAGGAAGTTTATGCCAGGCTACATTTTTTTTTTCTTTCAAGTAACTACTAGTTTGAGATGTAGCCCATGGGTTATTCAGAAAGTCTATCTCTACCATGATAGAGATACATTAGGTGATTCTTAATATGGCAAACAATCATTTCCCCTTGAAATACACCTCTAAAAACTCTAATTCAAGAATTTTTCTTTGACAAGATTACTGAAGAAAATATCTTAGTCAATAGAAAGTATTCAGACAGTAATAGCCCAGGTCTTCATATCTACCAGATAAAACCCACCCAGAACAATGAACAGTTCTACATAATCCACCTGTGTTAAGTGCCCCATATTGGCCTAACACTTCTTATTCTTTTATACTCATTAAAGCTTAGTTTGTAATACACAAGTACTTAACGTTGTGTTTTAGTTGCCTACCTATCAGTATAGCAATATGTCATGTGAGCTTGAGTCTAGAAGCAATAAGCTGTCCATGTAGCTTAGGTATATAGTTAGACCATTCCGGTTTGTGTTGAGTGCCATTTGTGACCAGCATTTCTCAGAATGCATTAAGGTGTTGAAAGTGTTTGCCATCTCTCTATAATAACCATTTCAGATAATTGCCTACTATAAGATTGTGAATACATTTCAGATAATCCGTTGGTAAACTGTCTTTCTAAAATTAGAAAATGTTTTTGTAGAACTAATTTTTAGATGTTACTATTTGTAGTATTCAAATTTTTTCCTTGAATTTTCTTAAGAGACATTTTTTGTTTCAGAGGAAGTTTCACTGTGCAAATCTGACTTCATGGCCTCGCTGGCTGTATTCATTATATGATGCTGTGAGTAACTTGTCTTTCATAGTCCTGACTATATCTTAGCAAAATAAGATGACACATTTTTGATTACTGAAATTATGAAGGGTCATGTAAAAGTCACACTGTAACTAAGAATTCTTACATCACAAAATTGTTTTCCAAAAAGTATATTCATATGTATCTTTACATCACTAGCATATTAACTGATGCGTTTACACAGACTTCTGGTGTCAGTTAAAAATATGCACTATCACTGCTAACAAAATCACTAAGACAGAATACTAGGATAACTTGAAGAATCTTGACTTGGAATACAATAACTGCCTTCAAAACCCAATTTCTATCAGTCACTGTGTGGTTTGAGAGAGATGGGTATAATAGTAGCTATTGCACATAGTAAACATTAAATAAATGTTAGTTATATTTCTTAGTGGATCCCTGCCAAAAAAATCTAAAGAACTGGAAAGATAAAACAAGTAATTTGAGCATGTATGATGTATGTACCACTAAAAGAAAACACAGTTGACCTCTGCCCTTCAGCAGCTCTTGAGCCTAACAAAGGTACAGATGCACTCTGGAAAAATGTGTTAATTCCTGGAAAAAGACAGCACTTTTCTGTAGAAACTAGTTGTTAAGTGAGGTTGTGTAGACAGCAAATGTAGGGGCACACCACCATTTGCACTGAGCCAGAAAAGGGCTTGAGAAGTCAGGAGAGGCCAGTTCAAGCAGCAGCCTAGAAGAGCATCCTAAAAGAGCATAGAGAGGCATTTAGAATCACATACTCTTTGGGATAGACAGCCTAAGGGTGAGAGACACTTGGGAAGTTGGTCTGCTTGCTAGTCACAGGAGTTAGTCAACCAGCTCCACCTTTAAAAATTAGGCATTATACCTGGTCTCAGATTTACTTCCAATGCATGATTTTTAAAGGGGCAGAACCTTATTGTGGCTACTTTTATTTTAAACCAGGAAACATTAATGGATAGAATAAAGAAACAGCTACGTGAATGGGATGAAAATCTCAAAGATGATTCTCTTCCTGCAAATCCTATAGGTATGGAAAATACTGCAAGCTGTGGCATGTTACTGGGGAGGGGGGTTAATATTAATTGGTTTAAACTAACCTTTGAATTTTGAAAAGGTATTTGCATCTCTTTGATTTGAAAAATCTTTTTTCCCAAGAAATTATTTTAAACAACAGAATCTTCATATTTTGCTAAAGTAGACACTTCCTGTTCTTTATAGAGCCTTTACAAGTGAAACTTAGCTTTATGTCATGTCTATATTTGTAAGACAGTTTCATTCAAGTATATGCTTGACTTAAGGAAGGCAACTGGAGTATAATACTAATGATTCCTAAGTTTAAAGCCTGCAAACCTCACCTTGTCTTTTAAGACTTTTCTTACAGAGTAGCTGCTTGTCTTCCTATTGATGATGTGTTGAGAATTCAGCTCCTTAAAATTGGCAGTGCTATTCAACGACTTCGCTGTGAATTAGACATCATGAATAAAGTGAGTAAAGACTACATGTCTGTTGTATATAGATTGTCAGTCGGGCTACACAGTTCACACTGTTGAGATCAGGAGTTTACCTCTATTGTGTAGTAATATAGTCATATTCTGGAGAAGTACTTGTTTAGCTGTTCTTGTTTGTGTTCTAAAGCTTCTCTCTGGTCTGAAATGCTCTGTAATTTAGACCATTCCAAATTTTGGAAATTAGGAATGTTTGAACAGTGACATCTTATATATGTGTGTATGTATATATACATATATACACACACACCGAGTCAGTATACCTTTGAATAATGTATATTCAACCGGAAATTTGAAGTTATTTTACAGTCTTTAAATGTTAATCCTAGGCTTTATCCTAGAGAAGTTTACTCATGATTTGGGTAACAAGCCTATTTTTCCACTTGAACATTGTAGTGTACTTCCCTTTGCTGTAAACAATGTCAAGAGACAGAAATAACAACCAAGAATGAAATATTTAGGTAAGATTTTTTATTATATTTTTAGTATACCTCTCAATACATTTCCAACTTCCCTTTGAGAATTTCTCCTCCAGTGTTTAAAAATGATATTCAACAAGGAAAATAAACATAGGGAATTGATTCAGTTTGGGGTTAAGGCTGTCTGCCAGTCTAGAAATATCCACAATGCCTATATATGTTTTCCCTCAATTTTTGTTTAAGATAATGTTTCTTCTGATATAATGAGTGCTTCAAGCAATTTCTTTCAACTAGTTATGCCACATAGGACCAAACTAGGGCTTGTCTCTGCATATGTGCTAATGCACAGTAGTTTTAACACTTTGATAAAATTCATTAGGGTCATAAATCAAGCAAGTAAGGAAACTGATGTCTGCAAAGCAGCCAACTGTCCAAAGATGAAGAAACATGACCTTTTCAACAATAATGTGTTTCCCTTTGAATCATCAAAGAAAAATTTCATGTAAAAATAGAATGTCTTTGGGTGCTAGTGGTGCACACCTTTAATTCCAGCACTAGGAGGCAGAGGCAGCCTGGTCTACAGAGTGAGTTCCAGGGCAGGCTCCAAAGCTACACAGAGAAACCCTGTCTCAAAAAAAAAAAAAAAAAAAAAAAAAAAAAAAAAAAAATCTGCCAGTCTCCTGTATACTGTACTTACATTTGACACAAAATTCAAACATTAAAAAACATAGACACCAAAGAAGGAAAAATTAGAATTACTGTTTTTCTTTCTCTTATTCTCCATATTGCTTCTTTGTTGCAGTTTATCCTTATGTGGCCCAATGGCAGCGTATGTGAATCCTCATGGATATGTACATGAGACACTGACTGTGTATAAAGCTTCCAACCTGAATCTGATAGGTCGGCCTTCTACAGTACACAGCTGGTTTCCTGGGTAATATGGTTGTGTTCACTGTTGTTAGCTCTTCCTTCGTTTAGTCTTAATTGAAGCTTCTAGAAATGACACAAAACAAAAAGAACAGGCATAGTTTTAACTAATCTTCATTTCATCAATAGGTAGAAATGAATGTGTGTGGGGGTGTGTCACTGCATATGTTAAGGCAAAAACCTGAAATATTTGTTGGCACATTGTAAAACCTTATGATCCAATGTAACTAGAACTATTGCTTGATCCCCTGATATGTACGTCAGAGGCCTTAAGCAGAGATATAACAAAATGGGGAAAAACAGTAACTCTTGCTATATCTAGCCTGCTTTATTCTGGGCCACTCTTTTACTTTTAAAGTGATAAAGGTATTAGGGATTAGTGATTTTACTTACTATCTTGCAGTTGGAAAAAAAAAAAGGTCCTCTTATTTAACATCATTCTTGACTACTGTGAAATGTAAACACTAAATACAGACTACTCCACCTGAGGAAAATGGTAACTTGCTAAGTTGAGAACAGAAGTTTGTTTTTGAGGAGTTCATGCTCCTTTCTCTACCTCATCTGTATCTCCAAGATTGCTGTTCTCTAACATAATTCAGTAGAAAACAGTGAGGTAAAGGCTGGAGCAATGTAGTCTTTGGCAAACAGCAATATAAAGAAGCATGTATTAGTAAAATTATCAAATCATGGTATCAATACAATATCAAATCAAGTCACAGTAGTTTTACAGATTTATGAGGTTTCAGAGGAAAAAAAAAACAGATTTCCTTAGCTTGTGTTTTTCCTTCATTTTTATAGGTATGCATGGACCATTGCCCAGTGTAAGATTTGTGCAAGCCATATTGGATGGAAATTTACAGCCACCAAAAAAGATATGTCACCTCAAAAATTTTGGGGCTTAACTCGCTCTGCTCTGTTACCCACAATTCCAGAAACTGAAGATGAAATAAGTCCAGACAAAGTAATACTTTGTTTGTAAGTGCATTGTAGGGATAACTTCCTAACAAATTGTTTCCTCAAGTCAGATCTGCCCCAGACACCACTGCCTCTGATGTATGTGTATAGTGGTTTCAGCGTTTGACTACCAACTTCAAGAGCACACTTGTTCAGAGGATGAAAAAGCAGCATAAAACACACGGTTGGATTCAGAAGTATCTGCTTTAGTAGCTTGGTGCCATTAATTATCCTGTTGAATATGTGTCATTGAGAGGGCAAGAAAACATGTTTGAAATGATGAGAATGGCTGTGGAACAGGATAAGGGCACCACGGTTCTAAATGATGAATGTTCCAGAAGCTAGGTTGGCAAGCACAAGACAGAGGCAAGGCAGTGTATATTATTTTGAAAGGAACAAAGTCCTTTTAATTTTCTTTAGCTTGTCTGAGATACTGATTTGTAAATTTTGAAAATATTAAAAGAGTAAAATAAGCAGTTTGAAAAAAATAGCATTTTGTGTATTTGCACTATTTATTTGATAACCCTGTCATGTGTAAGACCCCTTTAAATAGTAGTATATGTGCATTTTGAATTTAAATTAACAGTATATATTTCTGGGATTATACCGTTTTGGAAATAAAAGTTAAAGCAATTGAAGGGCATCTTTAAATAAAAGTGGCCAAAAACCAATACCTATGCCCAAACTTACAATATTTAGTTTATGTAAAAGTCAAAGTAATCAAGTAAAGTGGAAAGTGAAATATGGTAATAAAATGTAACTCCTCAATGTAATTTTTTAAACTCCACTTCTATTTCATTCAAGCTAAAGTGAGGCAATTCTGCTTTTTATTTCTGCAGTGTAATATCATGATCCAGCTACTGTTTATCATTACTTGCAGATAGTACTGTTTAAAGGAAGTTTACACAACATAGCTTTGATATCATTCCATCTGTATACCTCCTGCATACATATGCAGTGGAGTGACAACAGCAGAAACTCCATGGTGTAAAATTCAGGTATTTACTAGCCTGTGTAGCTTTTGAGGCTCCCCTTTTTTTGCAACATAATCTCTTATTTGGGCTTCATGACAAGTGATTTTATCAAACTCCAAAAGCTACTGTTTAGTACATGGATACCAAGTGTCTATGCAGGAAGTCAGTTATAAAATGTCAAATTCTAAGCCATATCCATCTAATCAATTAGTAAACACTTGTATTCACTCTGTGGCACTGATGTAAAGCCAATAGTCTCAATGCCAGCCATTCCCCTAACATTCTAAGCTTTGCAGACATAAGGAAATAAGAAGACCTCTGTAAATGAGTGGCATTGTTGACTAATATTTTAAATTCAGCAAACAGCTATGACAACATGAACTAAGTTCATAATTATTTTAGCATACACAAATGTTCTCCAACATCTACCACGTCCACCCAGTGTAAAGAAGTGACAGCTACACTCTTCTCACTAACACTTTGAAAATTCAGAGTTAAACCTGGATTAAGAGGATGCAGACTTAGTTTTTCTATACTTTATATTGAGTTTACTCTTGCTGTTTCAAAGGGAAAGAAAAACTAATCTTACCACCATTTTGTATGGAGCTCATTTTAGGTCTTCTTTATATAACTTAGAAGTTCATCTTTTTCCATTTGGTAACCACTTTTCTTCCACTGTTCACGCAACTGCTGTAACAGGGCCCCAATTTCCTTCCCTGAAGAAATGCCCACTTTCCTGATGTCATGTCCACTCACAGGGAACGGTGGCACAGACCACTGCTGCATCTCCTTGAGCAGACCATGCTCTCCTTGGTACTTCAGCAGCTCACACACACGAGCAATTGCATCAGGTTCCCTTGACTAAGTGACAAAGTTTTTCACATATTAAACACTATTTCATTCTACTACTTAAATACTTATGTAAAGTCTACAGTTTGAAAAAATTAGTTATGCAGTTAGTGAAGAACTATTTTTCTGACCAAACCTAATACATACTTACATCTATAACGAAGTCTTGATATGGTCTCAATGGCTCTGAACTATCTGTTGCTTTAATCAAATCTTTCCTGTTTTTAACTATAAATAAACCCAAGTTTTTCTCTTCTTTTGAAATTTTCAATCTCAAATCCAGTTTTGTGACATCATCTTGTACTTTGAATAAAGAGGCCAAAAGAGTCATTGGTTTTGGTGAAAATCCTTCAACATTTTTACTGACTTTGTTAAATTCTTCTAAATTTGAATTAGAAGGTAAACCTGTATGGCAAAATAAATAAATAAATAGATAAATAAATAAATAAAGTCATTGTTTTTAGTTATAAAACCCCCACTTGTCTCTCATACCATGTACTTTTAAAAGAATGTAGTGTTCTGTCTACACTGCTTATTATCAGCCCATCTGCCCTTCTCTTAACTCCCAGGAAACCCTATCGTGTCCTTGTTTCCTGGAGCAAGATGTAGCAGGAGGCAAGTGCACAGTAGCTGGCTTCTCTGTCCCATGCCTGTCTGCATCCATTCCCTACTCTGTAATTTTGTGTTCCTGTTTGGAATATATTAACTATAATTAGTGTATTAAGTATTCTTGTAGAAGTGCTAACTAGGTCTAATTGCTCTTTTCAACCCTTTTTGATGATTAAACCAAGCCAACCTGCAAAGCCAGTACATGGCATATCCTCATCAAATCTGAGTGTTCACTATGAAGTATTCTTCACCTGTAAACTATCTTAATCCCAAAGTTTCTTTTAGAATTTCATTTCCCCACTTAAAATTCCTTAGCCATGTGATACAGAACATTGTACCCCATGTACTTTAAACTAGGTATTTTGTTGCTAGAAATTCATAGATAATGGTCTAACCTATCCTCACCTATGTGAGGAGCCACATCAAGATCATAGATCAGGTGGATCAAATGGTTTACATGGTCACCAGTAAGAATTTTCTTCAGTTCCACCCAAATCCTCTCTCCTGATATTCCAGCCAAGCCTTTGGCATTTTCTGCAATTGCTTCTAGTGTCTCATGGTCATGGTCACCAGGTTTGTCGACAATTCTGCCATAAAACCTGCAAGACATTCGACATGTGATTTTTTTTTTCCATGATTTTCAAAAAATTATTATTCAAAAGGAAAAAAACCCTCCAAGGTAAGCTTCAGAGTTTTGTTACTTCTCACCACATAAAATATTTTTCCCATTTTTACTAGGGTTATCTGGTATACATCTAGGTGTTGGATCACAAAGTTACTATTTAAAAGTCTTGCTGTTTGGTCTGTTTTTAACAGACTGTTTGCATATACTTGTTTAGAAGACTTGGATTTATTGACAAAATATTCATGCTCTGCTACACAGTATTCTGAGTGGTCCCAACGAGTGAACAATGAATGTTACTAGATGCACACTAGCCAAGAAAGGTTTTTATTTTAAGGTTACAATTTGGATCTTTTTTTTAATCACTGGTAAGAAACTATCAAGATATAACCTACAGAATGTGAGTATCAGAATGAGGCATGAGATTACAGAAGGAATTCAAACAACAACTGCAAAATGTATAAATGGTCAAAAAGTGTATGAGCCATATCCAGTATCACTAGTCACCTGGGGAATGCACATGAATCCCTCTGATAAGAATGGCTGTTATCAAAGGTAGCAAGTGCTAAAGAAGTCAAGCAGGAATATACTTGTACAGGCACTGTGGAAATGGGGAGACTCCTCTGAAGACTAGAAGAGGAGACCAAGTTAGTATCAGGAGGTGACTCCGGCTCTCCTGTGTTCAAGGTTGAAAAGAAACTGTTGATCAACTGTCAGAACCTGTAGCACATTGAGAATGTTGTACAGTAGCCTCAAACTTGTGGTTTGCAGAGGCTGGACTTGAACTCAGACCTTCCTGACTTAGGTTCCCTCTGTGTTATGATTATTGGCATATGCCACCACTCCTGATGCAATATCCTGTCAATTATAACAATAGACAAAGCTAGAGATGACTGTTAAATAATCTAGACAAAAAAAAAAAAGAGTAGAAATGCATAGCCAAAAAAGAAACACACACACACACACACACACACACACACACACACACACACACACACACACACACACACACGACATTCTCATCTCTGCAGCAGAACAGAGTGGCAAAGATAACCAAAAAGCTTGAAGGGGATTGAATGTTTTATCATAAACATGGTACATGTCTGAAGACATCACAACATTACATACACAATCAAAAGCAGTTAAAAATTATGTCTACAAAAATCAAAACCACTGCTACCCTTAAATCTATCCATGCATTTCACACTTCCCTTTGTACATTTACATTGACCTGTCTTACCACTCATTTAACAGCGTGTTCTTTTTGTCAGTGTGTCATTTTTGTGGTGAGGCATCAGATCAGATATGTTCCAGAGCATCTTAGACTCTTAAGCTCTGTGAAGGCAGACACTTTAAATCATCCTTCACTGTGATCAGAGCACCTAGCACAGTGCATGGGAATGACTCAAACCACAGGATCAAAGAAAGAAACACATGAATAATTTAAAGCTTTCATAGAGAACACAGCACAAAGAATGATTTAATTATGCATATTTTCAAAGCCAAAGGGTGCTACTTCATCACTGAAGACAGGTACGTGGGTGCTTCTATTTCATATTCCTGCTGATGTGCACTACACAAAACAGGATAGTGTTTAAGGGGTGGGGGTGGGAGCAGAAATTGTCTATTGCTAAAATTTATAAATTCTTACCTGAAATACCTTAAAATCCGGAGATAATCTTCTTGAATTCTCTGTTTAGCATGTCCAACAAATCGTACTTTCTTATTTTTTAAATCTGCATAACCATTAAAATAATCAAACAAGGTACCATCAAAGCCTATTCATTAGAAAAGAGGGGAAAAAATCATTAGCAATGGTTAGTGGGAAGGAAAAAGAATCATCTGAAGAATACCACACACAGTAAAAATTCAGTAAGCAAAAGAATCAAAATTAACAAAATGAATTTACAATACTTGTGTAAAGTGGGGAGGAGGGGAAACACCATACAAGCTTCTTTTTATTATTAATATAGAACATCAGCAATAGATAATCTGCTAAACATAGTCCTAAAATAAGAATAGCAGGAAAGACCATGCCTCCAAAGGACTAAATAATAAGTGGAAGGTAATAGAAAACGCTCAATACCTTTTTCCAGCCTCTGTGTACATGCATACATGTGCATACACACATTTGCATACACTGAGCTATAAGAAAATCTTTTTGTTGTTGTTGTTGTTGTTTTTTTGTTTTTTCGAGACAGAGTTTCTCTGTGGCTTTGGAGGCTGCCCTGGAACTAGCTCTTGTAGACCAGGCTGGTCTCGAACTCACAGAAATCCGCCTACCTCTGCCTCCCGAGTGCTGGGATTAAAGGCTTGCGCCACCACCGCCCAGCTAAGGAAACAAATCTTAAACAAAAGCCCAGTAACAGACATAGTAGGTTAAAACAATCTGAAAATAGAAATCATACATATTGGCAAGAAAAGAAAGAAAGCATCTTGCAGAAAATTACAAGCTTAAAGAATTTGGGAAAAATATGTCAGTACCAAAAGAGACTTAACGGAGCATTTCCCTAATATGCAAAAACTGTTTTGAAATAAACAGACCCAAGATGGTAAAATACCTATTACCTCAACATTCAGGACACTAAGAGAAGAGTTTCTAAGATGGCCTGAATACATACTCAAAATTCAAAAACATAAACCATATAAATTAAATGCAGAAATCTTAAAACTTAACATTTCAACCTTAGTCATAAGCTTTTGAAAGACTTTCCAGATTTCTCTCAGACTGGGTTATATCTGTCTGATAACAACATGCTTTGACAAAGTAGGGACTCTGGCTCAACACTATAGACTCTGTGAACTGATGATGCAATCACACACACACACACACCGTAACAAGACCCACTGATGCCTCTGTCACTAAAAAGCGGGGGAAAAAGTTTGGTCAAACTACTCTTACTAGCTTAGAAACAGTACCACTCATCTTGATTCCCCTTCCAGGAGAAATCTCAAAACCACATAGATAGCAACTTACCACAAGAACTCAAAAGAAAAGGAAAGCATTCATTTAATTAACTAAGCATGTTGACCAGTGGCCCTGTGAGATGTCTACTCTGTGCTATCAGGAACAAGAGAAAGTGCTACCTCCTTTGGAAAATGACTATCTGTCAATTAGCTGTTTCACATTAAATGCTGTTTGATTATTCTAAAAAGCAACACTGGCAGGCTAAAACTTAAGTCTTTGTTTCCAAGCTGTTCTGGATCTACACATAAGCCAACTCCTGTACCAGAAGAATCTTGATTTATATGACAATTTCAAAAAGCTCCATAGGAAAACAAACAAAGCAAAAACAGAAAAAAAAAAAAAAAAGGAAATGTTAGGCAAGCAAAATAAGACTACAGAATGTATCTTAAGATCCTGTTCTAATATGAGATTGGCAGGATGGCTAATTCTCATCCCAGCTACCATGTACAAGCCCCTCATTTCCAGCCCTGGTATTGGAAAAACAAAGGAGGAAGCAAAGTAACCAGCTATTATCCATACTATTAATGCTTGAACAGTGATATGTGAAAGAAGCCTGAAGAAAAAACTAGGTTATAATGCAAGCATTGTTATCATTGTTTTTCTCTGATTACTATATAAAAAACAAGAAACAAAAACAAAAAACTAAAGCTACAAAGAGCATGCATGGCCTCTGGAGCCAGGCTGTTTCAGCTAGAATCCTAATTGTTCAAATTACTAGCTACACATTAGGCATGTTACCATGAGTTAAATGGCTTCATAGAGTTGTTGAGCAGATTAAATTTATAATGGGCTTATAGCTGTGCTGAGCACTTGATAAGGCTCAGCAAACTTGGCAAAACAGCATCAAGAATAGCTTTGTTTTATGTGAAATACTACTTTTAAAGACTTGATTTTTCTATTTTAGTGAATTATACTGAAAATATTCCTGTTGGACAAAACTGTTAAATTAGTTGGAGTAGTTTAAGTTTGAATTAAGTAAGAAGAAACAAACACTTTATATTATATATAGCATTCATTATCTGGGCTCCTTACTGTCAGAAACGCCTAGGCTTTGGAAGCTCCCACCATCACTAACTAACCTGAACTACAGCACTTAGCATTCTGCAGTTTTATATATCCTCCTTGCCTAAACTTACTTTCTCAGCCCATGAACCAATAATCATACACAAAAAGACTGTGCGAAATGTAAACGATAAAAATTGGTGGAGCAGATGAACTCAAGTCCTGACTGTTTCTCCTCACTTTTAATATCACAGAAGATAAAGCTGACAGGTGTTTTATTACCTATGGCTACTCTATTGCTGCTTCCAAAGACTGGATGCTAACAAAGACTCTGAGGTTGTATGTAGAGTCAGTAACAAAAATTTGATAGTTATTTGCCATTCTATACAACACTGAGTGTATAAAACATAGTGCATAGAGTGAGTGATATGATATGGGATGTGTGTATTACACGTTTTTCTTGCACTGTTGAGGTACCGTGAGTTAACAGACTGAATGTGCACATGTGTCAGGCACTACTGTTAAGCAGTGATAGTTATTTACTCCCTCAATCTTCACTATAGCAGAACAAAGAAAAATGGCAGAAACACCTGAATTTGCAGCTAGTAAGTAACACAGATTCTGAGCCCAGAGATGTTGGCTCCAGCCAGCAGGCTCTCCTAAGTTAGTGCAACTTTAAAGTTGGCCAATATTTCCATAGCACAAGTTTACCAACAAAAGGAAACCCTGACAGACTGAATTCAAAGCTGTCTTGTCTTCTCGAGAGATTACCTAGGAACATAGAGTTTATGGTGAGGTCTCTTCGTTCAGCATCCTTCTGCCAGTCAGTTGTGAATTCTACTTCAGCATGTCTTCCATCAGTGGTGACATCAATCCGGAGTGTAGTAACTTCAAAATTTTCTTCATGAAGCTGCAATTAAATACAAATTTATCGTTTTAAATTTTAACATGTATGAGTGCATGTGTGTGTGCCATAGCCAAGGACAACTTACCCAAGTCTGTTGTCTCCTTCCACTATGGGGTTTTAGGGACTAACTTCAAGATGTCAGATTGGGCAGCAGATGTCTTTACCTACTGAGCCCCACAAAATTTACTGCTTTCATTTTAATTAGTTTTCAGTATCACCAAGTATTTTAAAAATTTGTTTTCATAAGGCAGGGTGCTGGGATACCTGCCAAATATTTTGTCTTTTAAAGTCCATTAGTTTACACATTTAACTTTGTACAGAAAAAAAAAAAAAATCAAATGAATAGTTTCTTAAAAATACCCACTGTGATTAAGATCACTTTCAGAGACAAACATCCAACTGTGAGAAGTGGGATGGTAAGAAAGAGCACTTAATGCATCTGACTCCAGATATTCCACTTCAGAGCAAGCTACTCTCTGAAATACTATTTAACAGCTCCAGTCTGCAGCGAGGCAAAGACCAGTCTCTGGAACAGCAGCAGCTGCTGAAAGAAGTATTATGTATCCTGGAAAGAAAACCTCCAGCTGCAAAGGCTGGTACATGATGTAAAGGATCCAGAAAAGGGATGTGGGAAGAACTCCATTTCAAATGCAAGCTCATTGGATCATGATCAATGGTGCAGCAACAAATGGTGTGTTAGCAATAGTCAGGCACAGAGATTTTCAATCAAACAGTTTAGGACCTCCTCATTAGGAAGTTTATTCTAGCATTCCTCAGTTTCACATACTTTCCAGATACAAAGCTGTACCTAGAGTCCCAGTGCAAACTAAGGCTCTTGAGATACAATTATATATGAAAGGAGAAGAAACAGGCTTGAAGTAGGAAAACTGTGAAATTACTAACAGAAACAATATACTTCCCCTTGCTATACAAAACCAGGGTGGACCAAAAACAATCAAAATTTGAAGTACCAGAAACTGTTGATAGTAGAAATGAGACACAATGAAAACAGGATTAAGTGGAAATCAACAAGACTTGTCTTTTTCCCCATTTAATTTTCAAAATATACAACTGAGCTTACGCTTGGAACACAACTCTGCCGACTTCTGATCTCTAATGAAAACTCTCAACAGCATCAGAAGCACTAGCTCACACTTTCGCAGACTATCAACCAAAGGTCATCACTTTGCTGAAGATGGGAGCATGGGTACACAACCTTTTGACAAGTGGGATGGACTGCATTCATAGCTGTCTGGGGACATATGTGTCCAAGGGGCCCTGCCTTGCCAGGCCTCATTACAAGGATCATCCAAATATAATGAGAGTCAAAGAATACACACATTAAGGAAAACCATTAAGACAAACAGAAAATGCTTAAACACTGTGTCTGAAACAAGAACTGAACTAAAAGAAATACAGTCCTGCGTCATATAAGGAGACTTTAACAAAGGGCCTTGCTGTATCATATTTTATACCTATTACAGTATTTGTGGCAAAAGCATAACATCTGCAGTAATGTATAGTACATACTTTACTAATGATAATAAACAACTATGCTTCTAGTTTGTGTTTACAGAACTACATACATAGTTACTTTAATGTATGTCACATGTCAATCACTTAACAACAGAGGTATGTTCTAAGAAATGTGTTGCTAGGCAATTTCATTAACAATTTGTTTTTAAACGTTTTACAATAACATTTGAAACATAAGATACAGCTACAAAAATAGTTCATGTCCTGTGGCAAATCATATCCCTTTTTTAAGAACTTTTTTGTTAACAAGACACAAATTAGTTTAATTCTTCCGGAAAGGGGGGTAGTGAGGACCATCAGTGTCACTGCTGTCCACCCCATAGCTTGTCCCACTGGTAAGTTCACAGAGTGACACAGATAGAGCTGGTCTACCCCATGAATAGTACCTTGTGGAATATGTCCAGAAAGACCTGCCTATCTGGTAAAAATACTCAGAACACAGTTATATTTATATATAGTCATAAGCTCTCAACCCAAATTTACCAAAATCTAAGGTATTAATAGTACCCTGGAATAATGGGGAAAGGAGAGTTATATGGGCTTGATGTGGAGAGGGGTGGCAAGGAAGCTGAAGCACAGAAATGAATAGCATATTTCAACCTGCAAATTAAAACAAAATCTACAACACAGGACTTACATGGTTTTACCTCAGAAATTGTGCAAGTGAGGTAAGTATCAAACTTATATAGTAAGTAGTTCCAATGGAGGAGTACATGAGATTTACTGACATTTCTACTTAAACTTTTTGAAAATTTGATACTGTTTGAAGTCACTCTGCAGAGCTTTCACTCACCCTGGCAGTGATCGTCCCATGCTTCTCTCCTTTGTTGTTTATCATGCGAACGCCAGCTGACTGGAACATCTCCTTCATCTGAGTAGGGGTGGCAGTGGTGGCGAAATCCACATCTTGAGGCTTCACCCCATTTAGTAAATCCCTTACTGCTCCTCCTGCTATTCTTAATTCATGATTCTCTTTGGCAAATAATTCTGAGGAAAGAAGGTTTTGTTGTTGTTATTTTAGCACACATGATTAAAGACCAAAACTCATATAAGCATAAGGTCTTCTCATCTATTACAGAAAGTAGATATCAATGAACTGAGCATGCCGTATGAAAATGAAATGTGGTGTCTATGCCTTTAATCCCATCACACAGGGAGATGTCTATGAGTTTGAGCCAGCCTGGTCTACAGATCAAGTTCCAGGACAGCCAGGGCTACACAGAGAAACCCTGTCTCAAAATAAAGTCTAAAATGGTTCTCCTACAGTAGAGTGCCCCCCTAAAAACTGGAAACAGAACTCTGAGAATTTCTTTCTGATCCAGCAGATAGTTCAGAATTCCAAGATGCCTTAAGTTCATCATTGAATGAATTTTAACAGGAAAGCAAGCAATACACCATTCTGCTTGCTTCTCTGTGGTGTATTTGTAAACTTTAGAATGGGAATTGTTCTGATTCTATTTCTTTGGGACAAATTTAGAGACAGTATGAACCTATGATAAATGTTATAGCCAAGAACTTTTAAAAAACAAAACTGCATATACTGTTTGAAAGCAATTTGAATTTGTGCTATACCAAGTATAAACACTATGCAAGGCATGCCTTAAACACAGCTCATGAATGAACATCCCCACTTTTCAGTCAGTTTCAGTCTGTGTTCTCTAGCTACAAATAAAGATAACCTAGCAAGCAACTAGCTTCTACCAATCCAAAAGCAAGAATGCCAGCAGACAGTAATTTAGTCCTCTAGAACAGCTCATTTCATTGTGCCTACCTCTGATGTACCTCTAAAACTTGTGCTGGTTTATGACTTTCTTTGTTCTGTAAACCAATGAAACTGCTTTCATGTTGGAACATGGAATTTGAGGTAACCTAAATCTGTCTTCCCAGGCTCTGGACACTCAAATGTCTCCCCTTAAGAGGAAAGTTGTGTTTTTTAAGTTGCTAACCAACTTAAAACAAAGTCTTTCTGAAAACATACAGTCCTCTTCAGATCCCACTTCCCAAACTCTCCAAAACAAACTAATCCAGGCCCCAATATTGTAAAGTCAGTTCCAAAACCCTCTGTTGCAAGGCCACAGGGCTCCATGGGTAGTATTCTTCCTTTACCGCAAGGAGTAGCTTGGTATGTCTTTGGGGATCATGCATTCAGCTAAACCCATCCCTAATTGCTTCATAATCGTCAACTGTTTTTCTCTCATACTCTTCTTTCCACCTACCCTTTTCAAGCTGATCAGCCTCACTTTGTAGATTTTCTAAAATGGCCTGACTAAACAATCTTGCCTTAAATAAATGTGGGCTCTTGAACAAGAATACCACTTCCATAAGCCCTCTTCAAAAAGGGTTCAGGCTTCCTTAATTTCCAATCAAGTCGCCCAACGAAACACCCCTGTTAAGGATCTTTAAAATGTAAAAATCATGTTCACAACTTTCATAAGACTAATGGAGAGGTCCATGTCCCAAACAATTGAAAAACTGTCCAAACTGGGATCTACTTCCTTTAACACCTAAACCAGGCCTCTAAACTCCGTGCTTATTTTGAGGAAGGGCTCACAGTGTCTTCAGTCTAGCTATCTCCTTCTCTAGTGCCAAGCCCCTGACCCCTTAAAATCCAGCCTCCATAGCTCAATTTCTCTAAATCAACAGAGTAAATTATACTAGGCAATTCCACCTCCTACACATTTGCATTACAACACCCAAATTCTACAGCAGGAATACACAAAGGCCCCCATATCTAACTTGTCTCATCTCTCTCTAATCTTTGCCTCACACTTTACTACACCAAAGTCTCCCTGAAGTTTACTTCTTCCAACTTTGTTTGCATTGAGCACTTCACTCCAAACACCTTTCCACCTTGTTCAATCCAGTTCATTGGCCAGTGGCCAAACTTCTTGTCCAGTAACATCAACTAGGAAAGACACAAAGACACTACTTACAGAGAGCAGTGAGAGAGGCTTTCAGGGTGTGACTCCTGATAAGCTGACTAAGCCCTACATCTATGAATATATGAGCAGCACAAAATGGAGTTGATGGGTTATTAAAAAAAAAAAAAAAAGGACAGAAGTCAAGGGAGTAGGAAGGTGAGAGAAGGAATTAGAAGAGTTAGGATGATTATGGTCAAACTGTAAGACATTCTCAAAGGATTAAAGTATATTTTTAAAAAGATATTCAAGAAACTATAATATTAGTTAACATTTTAAATTCTGATTCTGTAAGGGAGGAGCAGTAGAGAATGGGAAAGCTAGAGGCTGGGAGAGCATATGAAGAAACGAACAGGTTCAGTCGATGCAAATTAGAGCTGTTACGTCTGCAGTGTTCAAGCATCAGTGGATCGTCATCATGGTTATTGAGAATTTGAAATGTATGAATCTGAACAGAGACGTGCTATATGTTAGATACATCCTACATTTCACAAAAATCACACTCCTATGAGAGCTTATCAATTACAGAAGGTTAAATACAATGCCTGTGAGACAGATGTCTGAGTGGGTAAGAGAGTACTTGCTACCAAGCCAGATGTCCCGAGTGCATTCCTGGCACACCAAGGTGGAGACTATAGACTTCTACAAGTAGTCTTCTGATGTGAACATATGAGAACATGCACTCTGCTCATCCCCAATAATAAATAGGCACCTCAAGTGCATCCTGGGTGATTTACACACCCACACAACTCAGTGTATCCCTGGAAGCCATTCTTATTATACCCACAGGCTTGAAATCAGAACTGTGGGCTGCTTCAACATCATTTGCTCAACTAAAGACAACACTGACAAAGCTGTGGGAAGAGCAATTTTCTGTCTGCCTCCCAGACACGCTTTGTAGGTGCACACGCAGAAAAAAAAAAAAAAAAGATAATTTTTATTTCCTCCTATTCTCCCAGAAAGCAGTTTACCAAGGAAGAAAATGTTAACTTCACTGTTTACAAACTGGATGACATCAGACTGCAGATTTAAAATCCAACTCCCTCAGTTAGTTATTTGGGAAACAGAAAAGGAACCTCACTTTCTAAGAATGTGTTTCCTCTTCCACACAGGAGAACACACATCTAGAGGTGTTGGGTCTCATTACATAATGTATGGTAAATGGAACTTGTTAGAGGCACAGAAAAGCTGTGCTTCAACCTGCAGTCAACTCCCCACTTCTAGTGACTGGGTTTATGATTTTCAACGTAGGCCTTTCTTTCATTAGCCCCACAATAATTATCTCAACGTGGGCTAAAAGATGTTACCCCTTTTTTTCTCTGTGGTGGACAATTCCAAAACACAGAGAAAGGACAACCTTAGCCTCTCACCTGTCAGGCTCTTCAATCCTTCTGTGAAAAGTGACTGGAATTCTGGAGACTGCAACTTCATTGTAAATAGGGATCGCTTTAGAAGGCACAATCTACTCCAACTACAGCTCAGGACCTGCCTGTGCCAAGGAAACAGGGGCCTGTGCATCTGGAGACAGTCGCCAACCGCACATCTACAAGGCAAACACACGGGCACGCTAATTAAACTTCAAAATGACGGCAAACAAACGCTGCCAGACAGCTCAACTAGGAAACCCATCTCTCCGGAGAAGAACCTGGAAGTGACCCTTTAAAGAACACTACACCTCTCGAATGGCAGCTACCCAGTTCTGTATTCCTGATATGTTTGCTATATCGGAAGCAGGCGGGGATGAGAGCAGTCCCGGAAAATGAAATATTAGACGGGCAGGTACAGCCGGTCTCCAAGGACACTTCAGTTACACGTGCTCATCAAGCCTCCTTCGCCACCCACCGTCGGCCTCAGGGTTACTGCCTCCAAAGCTGGAACTTGGCGGGGACACCCCGGCAGTTCTCTCCTCCCTCTGCGCGACCTCCGCGAGGCGGCAGCTCTAAAAGAAAAGTGTCGCGCCGCGGGAACAGCTACCCTCCAGCAGGACACGTGTGTCTCAAACGCCTGCCTTCGCGCCCAACTCAACTCCGAAAGCCGCCGGGAACCCGCCCTGAGACACGGCCACCGC